AGTGGTTGAGGTCTTGCCATATTGCATCTTCCTTTCCTTTCTTTTCCTTTTCAGTGTTAGCCATCATGTCATAATAGCTTTATATACTTTTCATACATCTAAAGAAGACACCAAACATGTAGTCTGCTTCCTTCTCTTCAACGGGAGAAGACAATGAAGGATGACCAGATAGTAACAACAGTAACTTTTAACATTATTCTTGATCTTCTGCTCTTTGAGACTCATACCCTAAAAGGCGACATGGAGCAGGGGCATTCCTCAGAGATCAGGCGGCAGTTAGAACCATGAAACAAGCTCAAGATGCTGTGACAAATACAAGACTGCTTAGAAGTGAAAAGTGGTATCAAAAGGAAAACTTAAATGGAAGATAAACTGGAGGATAGCTCACAGACAGCAGAGCAAAAAGATCAAGAGTTGGAAAATGGAAGGGAAAGGAAAGTTAATCAGCTAATCTAGTGCTCCAATATCCCCCAAGTAATAGGAGTTTCAATAAGAGAAAATGAAAACAAGGAAATAGTCACAAAACGTTTTATGATATTTCCCCAAACTAAAGGATATTTTGCTTATTGAAAGATGTCATTGAGTGCCTAATACAATGGATGAAATTTTTTTTAATATAATAGCTTATGTTTACATCATTTTGTGCCTTTTTCCATCTCAGTTGTAATCCCCTTGGGCTTCCCATCACCAAATCACCCGTGTGCCATCGCCATAGTCCAGTGCACCCCCTCCCCCCCATTTCTTATCCCATTCCCTACTTCACCCCAGTAAAATGTGTCTGGTATATAGTTGTTCATTATTATTATTTTTTTTTCTTCCCTGATCCCTTATGCTCCTGCTATGAGTGAAACCATCCGGTATTTTTCTTTCTGGCTTATTTCATTAAGTATGATCCCTTCCAGGTCCATTCACGTTGCTGCAAAAGGCATGGTTTATCTTTTTGATTGCTGAGTAACATTCACAATGAATTTTATAATGCTTGTGATAAAGGAATGTCTTGGGAATTTTCAACAAGACTGAAAGCTAGGTGGAACTATGGGAACATCTTAAATTCTGAAGGAAAATTATTTCTAATCTAGAATTGTACATGTAGCCCAATATCAACTGAACATTTTCATGCTTAGTCATGCAAGACGTACTGAAATGCAGAATCTCAAATCATTTGCTTTCTAAAGAAATTGCTAGAGAACATAGACTGGGGGAGAGAAACAAGAGCAGAGAACCACCCCCCCTTTTAAATATTTATTTATTTGTGCATACAAAACTGGGGCACAGGCCAGAGGTGTAGGGGCGGTGAGGGGATTCACCAGAGACAGAGTGGGGAGCAGAACAGGCAGATTGATGACATAAATTGCTGAGGGGAGCAGCAGGCAGGCCAGGAGAGGTCTGCTGTGCTATGTGGGTCACCTCTGGGGCAGGATTGAATTCATGCTAAAGTGGCTTTAGCTTCTTAGTGCTGTGCCACCGGAGACGGCCCCCAAAACCCTTTTTAATGTAAAAGTATACAGGGCCCAGCTGTATATATGGTACAAAATGCCACCATACTAGACTGGAGCAGAGGAGAAAGGTCTACAAGAAGGTAAAATCTCTACCTTACTAGTACCCTTCAGGGTCTTGAAAGAAGATAGAATGACAGTCACTGACAAGTATGTAGAAAACTAACTAAATGAAAAGATTAATTCCAGGGGCTAAGGAACAGTTGTGCAGGGTATAAAAAGTGGTTTACTACTGAGTCCCACCACTTATGTACTCACAATTATATACATATTGTATGGTATTCACACTATTATGAAGCTGATGAGGCAGTTACAGAGTGGGAGTATATGCATGTTTGGATATTGGAGGGAGAAAGAAAGAAAAATCTTATCTGCCTCAAGAGGACCTTAACAGATAAAGCCTGATACTGAGAAGTGAAGTATAGTAAAATAAGCAAGTTTGTTGTAGTTACAAAGATAAACATTGTGTTAAAAAAGAGGTGAGCACAGTTACTTCCAGAAAATAGATGGAGGATGCATTTAGAAGCTCTCCAAGTTACCTGGAGTATAGACAAGGTTGAGAACTGTGGGGTGGGAGGCTAAGATTTCCTAGAACTCACACATTCATTGTTGCTCCAGGCCACCAGGGGGCAGTATGGGTGGCTGCAGGGCCCCTCCTCACAGGGCCTCCCATCCTGTTCCCACTCCTTCCCAGAACCTACCTTCCCTGGCTGGTCTCGCTCCACTTCTGCTTCTTTCCTTTCCTCAGAACCCAGGAATCAGTCAGCTTTCTACCAGATAGCTGCCCATGGCCTGAATCTCATTTCCTGCACTTGCCCTCCTTTCTCTTCCCTGTGGGGTGACAAGCCGAGGGTGAGCAAGACAGAGGTGCAGTCTTGTTTTGAGGAGTCAGGTGTCTGAAGAGTCTGACGACCATCTCCGGGCTTGTCTCTGAGCCAGGGCTTCTCTTGTTAAACAGGGGCTCATGCTCCGTGCCCCTGAGATGCCGTCGGCCTGCGCTGACTGGCTTGCCCGTGTCACCAAGCTCAGGCCCCCTCGTTTGTATTCTTTGTGCACATTCAGCAAGCCTTACACTTGCCTTCCGCCCTTTGCATAGAACAGAGTGCCCCCTCCTCTCCCTGTCCCCCCCACAACCCTCTCCTACCCCTCACATGCTGGGCCTGCATGAGTCCCTCTAGCTGTTAGGTCGCAGCTCCAGTGTCCTGCTTCTACCCCAGAACCCTTAGCCCACCTCAGCCTCCACTTAGTGCATCTATTGATTAGCTCTTTATTAGCAGGTTGATACCATGAAGTGAAAAGGAGCTCGGGGGTGGGGTGGGGTGGGGTGGGGATGGAGGGAGAGGGCCACGAGCTTGGGCAGACGGATGAGTGTCAGGTCACACAGGGCCCCGCTGGCCAGGCTGGCCTTGAGATTTTATTCCGAGGGCCACAGGGTTGAGGCCCCTGCTGTGTCTCCGTCTTCTGGCCCCCGGGCCTGCCTGGAAGCTCTGTAATTGGGTCCTGCCACTACCACTGGGATGTGAGCTGATGAGAATGCGGCTGTGGTCCTTGCCAACTGCACCCTGCCAGGGCCTGACACCCTGTGAGTGGATGAACTCCATGTGGAAAGTGAGGTGACATCACATCTACTGGTGAGCTTTGGAAACTGGGACTGGTACACAGGTGTAGCAGGTGAGGGGTGAGCACCTCGCCCAGGTGAGGGCTTTTTATGTAAAATGCCTAGATTTTGGAGCAGTGGGGTTAGGAACACTGTTTCCTGAGGCTGATGGGATCCGGCTTGTCAGCGGGCAGATGGCAGCGACCAGGTCTGGGGAGAGTGTGATGGTGGGGCCGAGGACGGCCCCTCCTTGGGCAGCTGCAGCATCAGCGCTCCCACCACTTGCCCTCACTCGTCCTGGCTTCCCAGACCTGTGACCCTCAGCCAAGTGGACTCCTGCTTCGGAGGACGTGGCGATCTTTGCCTCCGTTTCCTGGTTGAGCATGCACTTTGTAGATGATAAACGTCTTCATTTCCTGTGACTAGAGAAAAGTATTAAAAAGGAAAAAAAAAATGGGGCAAAGTATTTAGCCAGGGCAGGGAGGGGTAGAGAAAGCCAGGGGGAAACAAACAAACAAGAGGCCGAAACTGCCGGGAGCCTGCCTGCCTGCCTGCCTGCCCCACCTTCCTGACCGGCATGAACCCCGCAGATCAAGCTATGTGGGCTCTGGTTCTGTGGTCAGATGGGAATTTCAGATAAGGGGCGCTGCAGCATCTTTTCCAGAAAGGGGAAGTGAAACAGTCAGTGCCAGCTTCCTCTTTGCTGCTGGCCTGGCAAGGCCAGCTCCCCACACCCGTTTCCTGGTGACCGGCACCAGGCCGCTGTCCTGTCGTTCATTAACCAGGCAGGAATGGTTCTGTTTACCCATCTGCCGTCCTGCAGGGGGCTCGGGGGAGCCTGCAGGCGAACCGGCCACGTACTGCTGGTGTCTGTTGTCACCTGTGCCTGGTGCCCGCCGTGGCCGGGGAGAGGGCCTTTTCTCAGGTCGGGTGTGAGCTGGCCGCTGCCCGAGCCTGTGTGGTGAAGTGTGCGCAGGGGTGTGCCCGGGCTGGCCTGCGGGAGCTGATTGTTGGTGTCTCTCGCCAAACCCATTTGGTGTCTTTGCTTTGGCGTGAGTGGGAACTGGCCAGTGCCAAGGATGGGGCTCTTCCCTACCCTCCACTCCTGCCACCCACCCCCCGTCCATGGGGCTGGCCGAGCACTTCCTGGCACAGCGCTGGGGACATCTGCTCACGATGTCCCCATGGGTGCCTGGCGACCTGGAAGGCTGAAGGCTGCTCTTGACCGTGGGCAATTCTGACCAAAGAGGAAACAGGCCTGACTCCCGGGGAGCTTCCATCCCAATGGAAACCCTTGTTAAAGCCCCCCGAAAGTCCTCAAGCTCTTAGAATGAATCCAGACACCTACCTGCGGCCTAAGAGGCTTGGCGTGGGGTGGTTCCTGCTGACTTCCTTGACCTCACCTTTGTTCACGCTCCCCGGCTCGCTGTATCCCAGCCTAGTCGTCTCTGCACCCGCAATGTCAGTGTTACCTGGGTCCCACCCAGACCTGCTGGTTCTGAAACTGAATTAGGGTACTCAACACGCCCCCGCCCCCATGCTTTCTCCCATGTTCTTATCATCATCTCTTTGCAAAAGCCACTCGCCACATTCTGAACTTACCCGGCTTATTTATTTACTTGCTTATTAACCACTTCCCATCATGCCCACACCCACCCCCACCTCCATTTGGATGAAACCCCAAGAAACCAGGCACCTGGTCTCTTCCAAACTCTGCTTCTGTCCTCAACACATATTTGTTGAAGAAATGAATGATTAGTTTCCCAGTGGGAAAGGAACGATCCACCCAGTGTCTGGATGAAACTAAAATGGCACCTGGAGATTTTCTTGGACTTTTCTTGAGTCTCCATCCCTCTTTGGCCTGCCCCGCACTTGCAGAAATGTTACAGAAACTGTGGACAGAATTCAGAGTTATAGAATCTTTATTTTCAATCTGCCAGACCAGGCTTTCTTTTCCTGTGCTGAGTCAGCATTGACCTCTGATGGATAGTGTCCGGCTGTTTTTGGCCGGTGTGGGAGGCCGTGAGGGGGAGGAGACAAGACCCAGACCTCAGGCAGCTGCCCGTTCAGTGGGGAGTGATTGCACACACACACACACACACACACACACACACACAAATGCCTGGTGCACACTCACAAAGCACCAGGTAAGTCCACGCGTGCAGACTTCCATCACAAGGGGTCTGAGGCGTGGCCCGGCTCCTGTTCCCCGTGGCATCTCCCCTCATCTCGCTGACGTCACGTAGCATTTCTCTTCCGTCCCTTTCTGCTGGCGTCTTCCAGCACCAACAGCTAGACCAGCGTCTAGGTGTCATCTCAAAGCTTGTGTCAAGGTCCCCTCTGGACTCGGCCTCGGTGCGATCGTCCCCAGCCGCCAGCCGGTCCCCACGACTGCGTTCAGACTAGCTACATCCCTCCCGCAACCCAGATCTGGTACTGCTTCCGCGCCTAATCATTTCTTCTTAGTCAGGGGCGGTGCTCCCTTGGGAAGGCAAGTTCAGTCAGGAAGGGACACCAAGCAGTGAGGGGTGCTCTTCCCAGCCCCAGCAGCGGAGGGGGGCCAGGGACCCCAGACTGGACACTTCAGCTCGTCCTATCCCCGCTGCTCCACGCCGCAGAGCTCAGAGTGCTTCGGGAAACCAGGGCACCCCTAGTCCGTGGCGAAATCAGAGCTGGGGACCCCCTCTGCTTGACTCACGCCTCTGTCCCCATTGGCCTCCTCTCCTGGGTCTTTGCCTCTGCGTCCCATCAGGGAGGCGCTCCGATGCCTCAGCGCCTGCAGCCCTTTCCCGACGGCTCTGCGCACCGCCGAGGAGGAGAAATAGAAGAGCACAGGATCCAGGCTGGCGTTGAGGGAGCTGAGCACCACGGCCACTGACCGCCATTTGGGGCTCTGCTTGGTGAAATACCCCACCAGGTGGGACACGTTGTAAGGCCCGAAGCACACCAGGAAATTGAGGAGCGTCACGACGGCCAGCCCCACCGCTCGGCGACGCCTGTGGGCCCCCACCTGGGGCTGCGTGAGCATGATCCAGACAAAGCGCCAGTAGCAGAAGATGGTGACGGTCATGGGGATGAAGAACAGGACGAGGCACAGCTCCAGCCGCACCGGAAGCACCACGCGCAGCTGCCCTTTGCTGAAGTCATCGTAGCAGGCGTCGGCGGGCTGGGTTGTGTTCTCGGACGAGTTGTTCGGTTTCAGGTACTGGACGATGATCACGATGCTGCAGTGGCCGAAGGACATGACCCAGGCGATCAGGGCGGCGATCACCCCGTACACCGGCCGGCGGGACAGCTTGTACCGCACCGGGAAGGCGACCCCCAGGTAGCGCTCGATGCTGATGCCCGCCAGGAGCCACGTGCTGCAGTAGATGCTGCTGTAGAAGCCAAAACCCGTGAGCGCGCACACGATGTTGGGCAGGTACCAGTGGAAGTTCGCCGCGGCCTCGACCATCTTGAAGGGCAGCAGCACCAGCAGCAGGAGGTCGGCCAGCGTCAGGCTGAGCAGCAGGATGTGGATGGGGGCGGGCTGGGGCTGGCGCACCCGGCCCACGAAGGCGCGCAGGGCCACGAGGTTGGCGGGGAGACCCGTGAGGAAGATTAAGATGTAGGCCATGAGAATCAAGGAGCTGTTCAACGTGAGCGCTTCCATTCTGAAAGAGGGTGGAAGAGGCAGGGTCAGGAGGCCCCACTCACGGCCTGCAGACCCTCCTCCGTTTCGGGCCCTGCACGTCCTCCCTCACCGCGCCGGTTCCCAGGCTGTCTGCTGCCTCTGCTGCCTGCTCACACCACCTGCCAGCACTGCCCAGAGCAATTATTGACTTTGCCTCGGGCGGGATATTAAGCACTGGTTATTACGTTTGCCATCTTGTGTCTCTGGGGGAGACCAGCCCTCGACTTCCCAAGGGAATTCCCCCTCCTGTTTCCCCAGCCCTTCTCCCAGATACAGGAAGCTGCTGTTATCAGTGTCCAACTGTCTGTCAGTCCCCTCCTTGGTCAGAGACCTGCGGACAGAAAAGGCATCCGCACACCCGAGGGAGCTGTCTCTGGGGAGAATTCGGGCCCGGAGACCCAGGCCCGCAGCAGCTCTCCACTGGACCCCACCACATGCCAGGAAGCAGGTGCTCAGCCCCCCACCATCTTCCTGTCTTGTTTTCCTCTCCTTTTGCAAAACACAGATTCTCCTCCACCTCTTCCTTCCCCGTGCAACGCGGACTTCAGGACTACACGGAAAAGGAGAAGCTAAGGAAGCATTGGAGGGGGTACAGCCAGCACGATGATTGGGGGCTTGGCCCCCAGAAGACTTGAGAGAATATTTCATAGAGCCCCAAGGGAGTAATTGGCTCCCGAGCCCCGGTGTCTGGCCTAAAACCAGAGGCCCTTTTCTCCACGGGTAACTCACTTGTCATAACCCCCTGCCCACATTCCGTCCAGCCCACCCCTCACCCCCCTCCGTCCTCCCTAGCTACACCCTGGCCCAGGTTTCCTTTCTTCCCCACCCCTCCACTGGCTTCTGTCTCTCGGTTTGGTCCTTAAGTTGCAGTTTCTGGGTGATGTCCCCCAGCCCCCCGACACCTCCCCTCCGAGTCTGCTTCCAGGGTGCGAGCCCTGAGCCAGCTGCCTTGCCTTCTCCTTCCAGAGCGCCGACTTCTCGGGATTGGTCGAAGAAAGTCTCTGAGCTTCTGGGGAAGAGGAACACAACTTTAGCAGCTGCTGCAACGCATTTGACCACAGGAAAAATTGTCAAGAACCTGGCTGGGAGAAAGCTTTTATACCAGCAGCGTCACATGACGAGAGAGGAAGGTCAGTAATAGCACCATCTCCTCTCAAACCCCAAAGAAGGCGCCGGCACCTCTCTGCCCCGAGAGACTGCGTCCGATTTCCAAACCCAGATTTCTGTCTCCACTGCCGAGTTCTTTTCACTCTCAGATAGCATTTCTCCTCTTCTCCTCTCTAGGTGATTTCGTCTGTAATTCTGCTCATTCTCAGAAAGAGGTTTCCTATTTCCTCTTATTCTCTGTTTTTTTACTTGCTTGTGTGGTCTCCTGCCCCCTGCCCCGTTGAGTTTCTTTCGCCCTCTCAGTTGAAACAAATCGGTTCCTTCTGTGTCTCGTGGTGGAAACAGCGCAAGGTTCAGAGTGGCAGGACGGTGGGCTCGACTCCAGGGTCTTCGCTGGCACTGGGCAGATCACTGGTGGACTTCAGCTTCCTTTCCGGCCAAGCAAGGCGAGGGACATGCCGTCCCAGGTCTCCGTGAGGCGCCCATGAGGGGCAGCTACACGCCCCGAGCCAGCGCTTGGCCCTCGGCGGAGCCTTAGCGGGCACGCACCGGCCCACGCCCATGGGGCAGCTCAGTGAGGGGGCGCCGCTTGGTATAAGGTCCAGGCTTTTCACCAAGGCACAGACGTGCCTTCCCATGGAGAAGGTGGTGTCGTTCTGGAGGCCCAGGTGACTTCAGAGGTCGGGAGCTCAGACTCCTGCCTCCCCCCAGGGGGTCCTCTTCCTGGATGGACTGGCTGGAACCCGGCCTCCGAGCCTCTGGGTTCATCTCCTCACTGATCTCCCCTCTCTGACTAAAGGCTCCTCAAACTCCTTTAGAAACCCACCCCAGAGGGAACAGGTAGAACCTGCTTTCCTGTTGACCTAGGGATGGGTCTGTTTTGTCTATGGTGGCCTGATCCCTGCTGACAGAATCTCCATTCTTTCCCTTGAGCTTGTACTTATTTCCTATTGCTTGATCACTCATTCACTCATTCATTCATTCATCCAGCCTTTAGTTTAGTTTAGTTTTTTTTTTAAAGATTTATTTATTTATGCTTACAGAACTGGGGTACAGGCCAGAGGTGCAGGGGTGGTGAGAGGCTTCACCAGAGACGGAGTGGGGAGCAGAACAGGCAGATCCACGAAGTACACCGCTGAGGGGAACAGCGGGGAGACAGGAGAGGCCTGTGCCATGTGGGTCAGCTCCCTGGCTGCGGGCAGCTGCTCAGTGCTGCACTTTAGCCCCTGTGCCACCAGGGAGGGCCCAGCCTTTAGTTTTGTGACCTGGACTCAGGGTCCAAGCATTTAGCAGTTAGCTTTCTTCCCCTCTTCTATTTTCTCCCCCCTCTGTCTTTTATGTTCTTCCCCCAGTGTTCCCAACACTTCCCAGATGGGTAAGGGAACCACTCTCTGGAGCTCGTGACTGAATCAACTTGCTTCACTCTGCTTTTATGATGCTCTGTGAATATTCCTGAAGAGCTGGAGTTGGCGGCTGAGGGGAAGTTTATCGGAAAATAGATGTTTATCTCTGCTGGTCCTTCCTCCTTCCAGTGCCTTCCTCACATCCCTAGAGCCTTGAACTGTGTGTGTGTGTGGGGGGGGGGATGGTGGGGCCCTGGGGACTGCCCCGGCCCACGTTCCTGGTGGCATTGGAGGCCACGTAAGAAAGGAAACTCAAACTCCTGAATCATGATACTGACACATGTCACAGGAAAAGGAAATGCAACTTCGGCCAAATTTAAGGGCTGAAATTTTACACAAGTGGCTTCTTTCACAATTTCTCCCAAGTTCAGTTTTCTCTCATCATCATTATGACCCAGTTTGTTCGAATAGGAAGTTGGCCCCTTGGTCTGAAGTTACGTGTACCACTTTCTCCACTCCTTCAGCTTCCCTCGCTCCTGCGTCCCCTCTGGCCTGCACCACATTCCTCTCGCCCCGCAGCCCCCGCTGTTCCTGGCTCTGTGTCACTGTGTTCAAGGATGTTTTCTTCCTTAGTCTCGAACAGCCTTCATCACCTGCTCACCTCGGCAGCCTCTGCCCTGAACCCTGATTCTGTCATGCTCTTCAGCTCCCCTGCCTTCCCTTCAGTCCCAGCTAGCTCTCCTTCCACGTCTCTGGACGGGAGCTCCTTATGACTCAGCCCCAGGCCTCAGCCTGCCCTCCCCGCTGTCTCTTGCATCCCTTTCTACAGTGTCAGCTGCTGTTTCTTATCTCACATCCAGTTTCGAATCTCCATCCTGGGCTTCTGTGATTGTTCATGTCCACACCCGTGTCTGACCACCTCAGTGGACGTTGCCATTTGGATGTCGCCTCCAGGCCTCTGTGTGACCAAAGCTGACGTGAGATCTTCTCACCAGCCAGACCTTCTTTCAGCTTTCTGTCCTGAGTCATAATCTTTTTTTTTTTTAAAGATTATTTATTTATTTATTCATTCATTCGTGCGTACAAGAAGTAGGATGTAGGCCAGAGGTGGGAGGTGGTGGGGGTGAGAGGATTTACCAGAGACAGAGCTGAGAAGCAGAACCAGTAGACTGACTGAAAGGTACTGCTGAGGGGAGCAGCAGGCAAGACAGGAGAGGTCTGCTGCGCCATGTGGGTCAGCTCCCTGGCCAGGGATCGAACTCAGGCCATAGTGGTGATAGCCTGAGGCTTAACCCCTAGGCCACCAGGGAGGCCCCCTGAGTCATGACCTTAACCTCGGTAAGAAACCTGAACATCACCTTTTCCTTATCTCCAGAATCATTTCAACAAACTCCCCCAAATACCCGTGGAATATGCCCGTCCCTCCATCTCCATCCTCCCAGCTCCGTGTACCAGGGCGGAGCATCATTGCCAGGATTCTGGAGAGAGGCCATAACTCCCCTCACAACCGGAGGCCAGTCCCCACTGCAGTGAGTGGGATGTACTTAAAAACATCAAGCCTGTTACACCACTCTCTTATTTTGAACCCTGTCAAAATAAGTGGATAGGATAAGGGGTATCCCGGGACACCCAAACCTGTCTACTCTAAATGGGTTATCATCTGCCCCATCGAGACAAAACATACTTCCCTGTCAGGGTTTTCTTACTGCTTTTGTTAGTGGGTAGGGTAAGGAGTACCCTGGGATACCCAAATCTGTCTGCTCTAAATGGGTTATCATCGGCCCCATCAAGACAAAACATACTTTAGTGCGTAATATTTTTAGTAAGGAACGTTAATATAATTATGTGCAATATAGAGAAGAGAAGGGAAAGAATAGATAAAATAGTTTCCACCTGAAGCGCCCAACAGCACCCATCCCCTCGTAGGTAAATGCCCAGTCAAGCAGCATTGACCCAAAGCCAGGGCCATGGCGACCTGAGAGCTGGCCACAAGTCTAAGACACCACCTGGTGAGGACCCCGGGCAGAGGGGCAGAAGGGGCCAGGTGAGTCTGGAAGGAAAGGAGCAAAGTCAAAATACAGGTCAAGGCAGTGGCTGTCATTGTCAGCCTCCCCATGGGCTCTCACCCACTTCTCCATCTTTCTCTTTTGATGTCTCCATCCATGTCCAATTCCCTGGTACTGGTCCAAGGCTGAGAAGCAAATGCAGCTTCTTCACACGTCCCTCTGCTCCGAGTCTCCTCTTGATCCACTTTCTTCCTTCTCTCAGTCTTCTCTCTTCTCCGCTCTGCTCAGCTCCACCCTTCCATAGGGTGGGGTCAGGAACCAGGAACCTCCCTTTCCCTGGGGATTACCCCTGTTAACACTTTGAACATAAATACCAACATCCTTAACCAGGCCCACCCTTGGCTCTCCCCAGCTTCCAGCCCTGGCTTGTGTCACTCCCCTCCCTTCTTGTTTTATAAGGACACGTCATGTTTCTTTTTGTCAAGGCCCAACCTCTGCCTAAAATGCTCTGATTTTCTTTTACCCATGTCAGTCTCCCCAGTTACTCTCTAGTCTTCTTTCAGCTATCCACTTCCATCCTCAGGAAGCTCTCCCTGACCTTGTAGATTCAGCCCCTTTTGTATATCTTCACAGCATCTTTTCTATGGCTGTGTAGTATTCTGTTTACAGCTGTTATATTTTATTTATCCGAACACCTGTTGATGGACTTTTTTTTTTTCTGTTTTTGACTACTGTGAATAAAGGTTCTAAGTGCCTTCTTATTTAACTCTTTGAATATTTTTGAGTTCTCTTGGGAAAATACCATTTGTCGACTGATTGGAGAGTAAAGGTTTTTGTTGAGAAAGAAACTGTCTACTTTCCAAGGTGGCTGTACCAGTTTTACTCCTCCCAGCATGGTTGAATATTCCAGTTGCTCCACATTATCATCATCACTTGGTATTTGCTAGTCTTACGTTTTAGGCATTCTAATTAGTGTGTCTGAGCCTCATGGTAACTTCAGTTTGCCTCTTCCTGATGATGATTGATGTTGAGTATCTTTTCAAGTTACTCATTGACCATATAAGATCTCCTCTTTTGTGATGTCTGTTTCAGTCTTTCGTCCATGAGAAAAATTGGATTATTTTCATATTGCGTTTTGAGAGTCTGTTATTATGTTCTGGGTACAAGTCAGTTGTTAGATACAGGTATTACAGGTGTTTTCTCCCACACTCTCACTGGTCTTTTCCATTTTGTTAATGTTCTCTTCAAGAACACAAGTTTGTTTTTAATGTATTTTTTAAAATTTTTGCATAGAAGTACTGGGGCACAGGCTGGGGTGAGCGGGGGGGCGGTGAGAGGATTCACCAAAACAGAGCGGGGGACAGAGTAGGCAGATTGACTGAAATACACTGAGGGGAGCAGCAGGTGGGACAGGAGAGGTCTGTTGCGCCATGTGGGGCAGCTCCCTGGCTGGAGAGTGAACTCAGGCTGCAGTGGTGATAGCCTGAGACTTAATCCCTAGGCCACCAGGGAGGCCAAAGAATACAAGTTGCTTGTGTGTGTGTGTGTGTGTGTGTGTGATCTTACATGATTGTTCATTTTGGTACAGCATTTGCCTTCTCCTCTCAGGTGTAGTCCCCATAAAATTCCCACCACCAGCTCACACGTGAGCCATCCCTATAGTCCCTTACTCTTCCCTCCCCTGTTTTGACCTCTCTCCCTCCCCTGCAGTGTCCTTATCGTTGCCTTCTAGTGTTTACTTCTTCTACTCCTTCTTCTTATTTTCCTGATTCCTTATTTGGTTCCCTATAGTCCTCTTATAAGTGAAACCATTTGATATTTGTCTTTTGACATATTTCACTGAGCAAATCCCTCCTAGTTCCATGTATGTTGCTGTGAATGGCATGGGTTTATCTTCTTTGATTGGTGAGTAATATCCCATTGTGTATCTAGACCACATCTTCTTAATCCAGTCATCTATTTTTGGGCATTTGGGTTGTTTCCACATCTTCCCTATTGTAAATGGAGCATCAATAAACATAGGGGTGCAGGTGTCCTTTTGAATTGTTTTCATGTCCTTTGGGTAGATCGCTAGGAGTAGAATTTCTGGATCACACGGTAGCTCCATTTATTTAGTAGCTTAAGGAACCTCCACACAGCTTTCCACAGTGGTTGGACCAGTTTGCATCCCCACCAGCAGTGAAGGATTTGTTGTTGCCTGCTTTTTGGTTTTTCTTTTAAAGATTTATTTATTTATGCATACAGAACTGGGGTACAGGCCAGCAGTGTGGTGGATGAGAGGATTCACCAGAGACAGAGTGGGGAGCAGAACAGTCAGACTGACAAAGTACACTGCTGAGGGGAGCAGCAGGCAGGTCAGGAGAGGTCTGCCATGCCATGTGGTCACCTCCGGGTCAGGCGGGGATCGAACTCATGCTGAAGTGGCTCTAGCTTCTTAGTGCTGTGTTTTAACCCGCTGCGCCACCAGGGAGGGCCAGTTATTGACTGTTTTTTCATATGGGCCTTTCTCTCTGGTGTAAGGTAGTTTTGATTGCATGTCCCTGATTGTAAGGGATGTTGAACATTTTTCATACACTTGTTGGCCATTTGCATCTCCTCTTTGGAGAAGTCTTTTTAGCTCTCTGCCCACTTTTTGACTGGATTGTTGACTTTGCTTTTGTTGTGTCATGTGAGCACTTTGAGAACACAACTTTTGACAGTTAATAAAGTATTTTGCCTTGTTTTTCTTTTATGGTCTGTGCTTTTATGTCCTAACACATCTTTACCTCTTCAACTCCAGACTATGGAATTGCTTTAACTCCTTATGGAAAAGACCTGATTGAATAGGAGTGGGCTTGTGCAACCTCTTTTCTGTCCTAGTCATCTTTGGGTCTCTCCCTTCACCTTCTCCACATGGTCTGGATTACTGTAGCTCAACAGTAAGTCTTGAAACCAGACAGAGTGAGTTCTCCAGCTTTTTCTTCTTGTCTAAAATTGCTTTGGATGTTCCGGGTCACTTGCATTTCCATATAAGTCAACGTCTACAAAAGGCCTGTGGGGATCTGGTCTGCGATTGCACTGGACACTGGAATAATAATGAGTTGTCTCATCTGTGAACACGACACAGCTCTCCCCTGACTGGAGTATTCACATTTCTCTCAGCCAAACGTTTCAGTGATCTGTCTGGAGATTTGGCTCTTTTTTTTTTTTTTTTTTTTGCCCATTTTTTAAAAGAAGTTGCTTCCAAAGTGTTTTTAGTGCTGTTGGAAATTTCATTTTTTCTTCAATGTTGTTTTCTCATTTGTTGCTCTCATGGCACCTTTTACGATTCCTTCATAACATTATTATGATACATTTATGGGTATGGGTATTTGCTGAATGTCATCTCCCTTACGAGAGGACTAAGGAATGTAGGGAACGTTTTTATCCCAAGGGCCTGCTGTAGAGCCTAACTCAGGTTATGACCACCAGTCGTTGTTTCCCAGAGGACATGGGGTGGGGGAAGGGAAGAAGTCAGATGGAGAGAAGTCAGTCTTCAAAGCTTAGTGATATTTGCCCTCAGATGTCTCGTTTGATCTCCTGGGACCATCATAAGCGATGCCAGCCCGGAATCACTTTAGTGCGTGCTTTCAGAAGAAAGCACTTCCAGTACATTTGCTAGAAGCTGTGGGAATCTTTCTTCATGGCAGTCTTAGTAATTCAGGCTAATGCATCTTTAGAGTCAGATCCTACTTAGCAAGAGTAGGAAGGTGCGTGTATAAAACATTCAGAAGTGAAAGGAAATGCAGGATTCACTAGCAGCGGCCCTAGCAGTCAAGAACTGTTGTTTCATTCATTCATTCATTCGTTCATTTACTCACCAAATATGTGGATGCCCTAAGATTGGGGCCACGCACTGAAGGTATCAAGGGGCAGGTTAGACTTGGCCTTGGCTCCCAGGCTGTGGTTACATGCTAGGGAGGGAAACATAGTAACGAGTAACCAGGAACACAGGATTAAGACAGCAGCCACAAACATCCTGGCAATGGGGCTGGGAGAGGCAGGTGGGGCGCAGGTGGCCATCCCTGCGCCGACCCTGAGCTGACCTTGAGAGGGGCTGAGTTCTGAGAAGGGGGCTGTTTGAAGTTCCAGCAAAGGAGTGGTTTGGGGGAGGAACTGGCTAGCATGAGGCAGAAAGCACCTTTGCATGGAGGGAACCGAAAGGCTCTTACAGCAGGGCGCTGTTGTGCAGCGGTCACAGCAAGGAGTCGGGATCCCAACTGCAGGAAGTGGGAAGTCGCCTAGGGCCATGGGGGAATGTGAGGGTGCTGAGGGTTTGAGGCAACTTAAGCTGGTTTCTGTGTGCGGAATGGGCTCCAGAATGAAACTGGAAGCAGAGAGATTGCTAGGACACTGTGGTCAATCTGGGAGGGCGGCTGGTGGCATGGATTCCAGGCAAGATGACGGCAGGGATTCAGAACGCACTGAACGCACTGCTCCAAGTAAATAACAATCAGTGAAGAACTGTGGGATGCCAGAGAGCAAGGGAACTTTCCCGGGGAGTTAGGAGAGGGCCCTAAACCAGTGCATGCGGCTAGACTGAGGTTTCATGCTCTCCTAAGTACAGTTCACCCCGCTTCCCTCTGTGTGTTCCCCCCGGAGGCCCTGTGACGGTGATGGATTATGTCCTTCCCCAAGTGTCCTTTAGTGGACACTTGTCCTGCCTCCCCCCCATCTCTGCAACAGTAGAGCCTCCAATTCTGCAGCCTTTTCATCCCCGTCTCAGTGCTGGAGCTCAACTGAAGGAGAGCAACAGAGAGGAGAAGCTTCGGGCAAGGCTCTTGGGAGGGCGCTCCGGATCCTGTCTGTTACAATAAAACGGACATCAATGTAGTGGACGTCCTGAGCTTTTGCTGCCCACTGCTAGTAGCCACGCCCCAACCTTCTCCTTGCAGAAACCTTGCCCTCCGTCACTCCCTGTCTACCTGTCACTCTCTGTCCACCCGTCACAGGGCACCCCAGTGTGAACTGGGCTGCCTGTCTGTGGGTCCTCACCCACGCACAAATTTAATTGTACTGCAGGCACACGCAAAAAGGGTCAATGATGGGTTTATTTACAAAGGGGAAAGGAAAAGGAACAACCCAAAGAGAGAAATACAAGGTTACTAGAGCATCCTACCAGCTCAGCTGACTTGGAATTCCAATAACACACTGATAGCCACCAGCCACGCGGTCCCGAGAGAGCGTGTATAGCAAATGGCGCCCTATTTATCCCCAAAGTCCCAGAA